ACAGCTCCATTAGAGATGCTGGAGGTCTCTTTGTTATTTCCAGAATGAAAATGCTGCAGCAGGGAAACCAGTTGCCCATATTGTTCTTTGGTCAAATTGACACTGGAGTTACATTTGCCTTCCAGAGATTCCACTTCTTCTTGTTTACCAGAGTTGTCTTCAAGTGCACCATGTACATTGGCCACAGTTCTCTTTCCTCTGTTAAATTTGGGATTTGGATTTGAGTTCAACCCCTGGGGGTATCCATGTAGCTTATAACACTTTTCTTTAGTATGGCCTGGGCGCTTACAATAGTCACAAAAGGGACGTGGTCTGGTGACATTGGGAGAGTAATTGTTGGGAGAATAGTTGGTTCTAAAGTTGCTGTTCCTCGATGTATCAACATTGAACGAGGTAGAATCTGCATATTGTTGGCCATTTCTGATATTACTCCTTGGAACATTAACATTTAAAGACGAAGAGTCTATCATCACATAATTGCTTGGCTTAACTTCCCTCTGCTTCTCTTCTTGAACTAGTAGGGAGAATGCTTGTGCCATAGAAGGCAAGGGGTTTAGCATAAGAATGCTGCCTCGCACAGTTGTGTATACTTCATTCAGGCCCATCAAAAACTGAATCAAACGTCTGTCTTGTTCAGCTTTATGCATATTTTCCTTAGCACCACACGTGCATTGACAGGTACATTGTGTTTTGGCACTTAGTGTACTCAGTTCCTCCCACAACTTCTTCATTTTAGTGTAATAGCCTGTGATGTCCAAAGCTCCTTGAGAAAGGTCGTTAATTTCCTTCTGAATTTGATATAGTTTGGTTCCGTTGGTCAAATCGTAGCGATCCTCCAACTCTTTCCACAACTCGACTGCATCATTTGCATATTCAACACTGTCAGCAATGTCCTTGGCAAGAGAATTGAGGATCCATGATGTAACCATATCGTCACATCGTTCTCACAATCGAAATTTCAAAGGCTCTTTCAGTGGATCTGGTCGCTTGCATTCGCCATTGATAAAACCTAATTTGTTTTTGACAGATAGGGCTCGCATAACACTCCTTCTCCACGATCTGTAACCTAAACCACCGAAAGGAACTGGAACTAACATCGCACCGGGATTATCTGAAGGATGCATGTAGAGAGGACTACTAGCATCGACACCGGACTCGATCTCGAGGACCGATGGGGAACCATCGGATTCAGTACTCGAATTAGTGATAGCCATGGGATAGGACTCAATTCGATGAGGATTGAATCAAAAAATCGAAGAAAGAGATGATAGATCGGACAATTGAAGATAAACGATTTTCTACGGCAAAAACTCAACGAATGAAAAATGGGGAAAAAGGGCTTAATTGATCTTACTGGAGATGACGAGAAGATAGAAGAGAGAGATGCTAGGCTCTGATACCATGTTGAGCTACAAATGCAGCAGGAGATCGAGCTCGAGCTAGAGCTCCAATGGGGGAAAATCTAGAAGCTTCATCTAGAGAGAAAGAAACTGAGAGAAAATATTTTTTGTATTATGTGAAAATGAATAATGTGTCAATACAATATACAAGCCTAATGTATATACATTTTTATGACTAACAACTAACAACCAATCACATTATAGCTAAGTGACAGCTAAGCCAAGTAGGGACTCACCAACCACTGTATACTAACTAATTACAACACATAAATACATAGCTCAACAGGCAGTGAGAATTGGAATCAGTTGAAGTGATGACTTTGTGATCCATTGGTTTGAATTATGAAAAATTTGAAATTTTGACGTGGTTTTAGAATTGATGATGATTTGGAGAGGAAAAATAGAAGATGAAGGGGGAGGAAGTAATGGGGGTATTTAAGAAGTGACGATTATGTATTTGGCCGTTTAGTTAAGATTAACGGCTAGTTGAAAATGGTGGGTAAAAATAAGTCCAACGGCACAAACACCGCATATAGATCCAGATCTAATTATGCAAAAACAATAGTGCAATAACACTAAATTACCAAAAAATCGTACGGCAACTCTATTATGAGCTTATTGCATGGATGATCCTTATGTAAGATAAAAGCTAAAGCTTAAGTACATTAAGATTTAAGAGTCTGTCAAGTATTCTTCTAGTGGATAGTTATAAAATGAGACCGGAGGGGGGGGGGGGTGGCAACATTAACAAAAAGAAAAAAGGCTACACCATAGCATGTCGTTCATACCAGCACAAGAGCATGAAATCTAAAATTTATTGATCATGTACATGCATTATTGTATATCTGCTTTTGTGTGTTATGATATGGATTGTTAGCCTGTGACCACGCCGAGCGGATTGTGATTGTTGACACGTGAGTTGTCCGTGCAGTTAGTATTATTGGTAGGTGAGTTGTCCATGCAATTAGTATTTGTCCGTGCGGATCCAAATATTGATAGTATAGGCACGTGAGTAATCCGTGCAACACATGAGTTGTCTGTGCGGTTGATATTATTAGCACGTGAGTTGTCCATGCAGCACGTGAGTTGTCCATGCAGTATGTGGATATGGATCCATCCCCCTAGGGTCACCCTCTCATATTTCTCTCTTGATGGTGTACACGCGGGTTGAGGAAAACTAATTAGTGGTTTGGTACAGTTATGAAAATTCTGAGAAATATGGCGAGTGTTGTTTGATTGTTGAATTCATCTTTACTTGCAATTTTCTTGGTTATTTATCAGGTTTACTTGCATATCATCTTTATATGCTGGATTATGACTGACCAGAGCACTTGATAAAATTGTGTACACCGGGATCATTCTTTCTGTGCTTTTTGACTCGATCATGTTATTGTTCTATACTTGTTGAATTTATGAACTGTACGGGGTGTAGCGAGTATCATTTATAATTCTTGCAGAGGTTAGTTATGATACTTGCTGAGTACATAGAGTCACTACACTCTACATTTAATTGTGCAGATCTAAGTGTCGGACCCAGTCATCGGTAGCTGAAGCATATATCTGAGTTGATCACCGAGAGACGAGGTAGAGCTTCATTCTTGACCGCAGTCTTGGCGTCCCTTTTCGTATGTACTGTTGTCTTTATTTCAGACAATATTGTATTTGGCTTTTCAGACTTGTATTTCCGTTATAAAGCTCATTACTCTATATTTACCAGTTTTGGGAGATTTATCATGTATTGACGTTATTATGTTATATTAAGGTTTTAGACTTGTGTTAATCCTGTCACTTCTGCCATTATTGTTCATTACTGTTATGTCCAGCTTGCCTAGAAAGTGCATTAGGCGCCATCACGACTTGTTGGGGTTTTGGATCATGACACTAACGGTCTTGCTTAGTTGAATTCATAATAGATTCAAACCATATGAATATAGGATTCATATAGTGGATAAACGGATAGTATTGTGGAAACATACTATTTATATAAACGATCTGGTCAACTAGCTCCCATAGATAATTCGGATTAACACGTGTAATTACGAGCTCAAATAGGATTGATAAACCGACCACAACACTGGAATCTTCATTTAACAGATCCCTTTCTTGGAGGAAAATGTTGTGAGCTTTATAAATTGATGACCACTTCTTCATACAAGAACATAACATAGAATAATTCACAATATAGTCCTTACGAGAGTTCTGTTTAGGGAGAAAATTTATTCTCTCATAATTTTATTTTATTTTTTATTTTTATATTAGTAAATCATTTGTAGGTCACTTGACCAAACCATATCAAAGTATATGCTTCTTTTAAGTTTATTTTTCGTTGTTATCTGATTTACGCCAAGATTTGCGACTCCTTGTTTTTTTCGAACCCAACCGTATGCCACTGGATCTAGACACCGCCCGTTATATATATTTTATGTGTATCATTTTTTATTCTTGGTAACTTTATTGGAGTACATTCTTTTGAATGCCTCAGAAAGTTTTCATTGAGCGGCGTAGTTTCTGTTGTGGGAGAGTTATCGTTTGTAAGAAGAATTTGAGTGATGATAACAAATCTTCCACAAACCTATAACTCTCAAAACACACTTTCTTTTTCCAAATGTTGTCCAATCGGCTAAGCATAATGACATACTGCCAAATTCTCAAGTGTTTTAGCAATATTTTCCTGTTCCCATAACTTATATATGAAAGCCAAGGTGTCATCTATCATTTTAGCTGGTAAATTATGTAAAACATAATGAGAGGAAAGGTTAAACAAGCCATTTTTTTGAACAAACTGAATAAAAGGACTTGAAATTTACTTCCATTCATTGTGTGTATCATGAATGAATAGGAAAAGTCGAAAGAAGTTGAAAAAGGTTAGTTATGGAAAAGAAAAAGAAGTTATGTTTGTGGAATCTTCGCAAAAGCTTTTCACTTTTGACTTATTAGCTTCTTAGCTTTTGCTTTTTCAACAATTTCACTTGTCTTCTGTTACTTCAAGGATTAGAATCAAGAATCAATAGTAATATCAGTTGATGCCGGACGACAAGAAGATGCTGTGCTTACACTTTGACAATAACAATAACAACTTGGAATTCAGATGCAACATGTGTACTTTTATAATATCCGGAGTGGCTTATGGTTGTGATCATTGTTGTTACTTTCTCCACGAGGTATGCTCTAACATTCCTAAAAGAATTCGGCATGATTTTCACCCTATGCACTCACTTACCCTTCGTCCTATTCCCTCAATCGCTCTTTGTTATTCGAAAGTTGAAAGCGAACTGTTGGCTTTGGGACTGAATCCCGTTGTGTGGCATGTGGATATGACAACTCTTACCCTCACACGTCACTCTTTTCTTTTTACTATCATTGCGATGTGTGTAATTTTAACCTTCATCTTGAATGTGCTTCTGTGCCAACCACATTGATCCATAAGGTTAAATATCCACTTGATCTCTTCACTAACTTTCCAATAGAAAGTGAAGGTGCAGCCGTGTTTTGTAATATTTGTAACCAAGTTATGAATAGGGAATCCTCTTGGCTTTTCTACAATCGTGACTTCGATTACATCTGCCATTTTGAGTGTGTGCTGAAGAAGAGTTTGGGCTAATAGGGAATGAAAGTTTCCTATCTGAAGTCCAGAAACTATTGGTTCTTCAAACAAGTTTCCCTGGCCAAAAACCAAAAGTAAGACAGTTAGGAGAAGTTAGACACTTCAGCCACCGCCATCCGCTGAAAGCAATCAAACAGACGAATGAGGCATCAATCATGAGTTGCTGCATATGTTCAGGCAAGTATTCGTGCGGTTACATTTGCCAGCAATGCAATTACTTCATCGACGAGACCTGTTTCACTCTTCCACCAAAGATACGACACCAATATCACCCGAATCACACCCTCATACTCACCAGCTACACCGATCATCCAAATATCCACTGCACAGCTTGCAGGGCAGAAGATGGTACGGCATACCATTGCTCTACTTGTAAATTCGGTCTCCATCGTACCTGTGCTGGTGCTCCCACGACATTAACACTTGGCACAAACAAGAAAGTTAGTTATAAGCTCCTCTATTCGTACCCGTTTAAGGGTGAGATGGCTGTTATCAAATGCAGTGGTTGTTCCAGTAAGTTAAACTCAAAGCAGAGCTTCTTGTACTACAATTTTGACCTGGATGAAGTGCTCCATGTCCATTGTGCGCTTAATAGAGAAGCTGGAACTTATGATACTAAGTTCCGCTTAGCTAGTGAAAGACTGAAAAGCATTAGAATAGGAGAAGACTGCTCCTGATAGCATGTACTGTAACTACAAATTAAGTTTTACCTATTTTATAAGTATTTAGTATTAACTTATGGCAGCAGGAAGGTATTGCCTAGTTTGTATGGCTGTTATTTTCTTTTTTCAAAAGAGAATGATTTGCAAGAACATCTGTCTGTTTGTTATATTTTGAGGTCTTGCAGCTGCGATATTCACAAGGTTCTACCACATTCCGCTAGAGACATCAATCTCACCCGACAGAGGTGGGTCGAGAATTTAAACTTGATTGGTTCAACTTATATGTTCACTTCCCACTAACATTGGGTTCATTGAACCCATTGATTTTATGTTGCATCCGCCCGTCACGATGACCTCTTCACCGGTGATCTGATTATTGCCCAGTAAAAATCACCGTGAATGGAAGACCCTTAAAGATAAACTAACCAATAAGGGTTGTGGTGGAGTGGTAAGTACTAATTCATCCTTAACCAGAGGTCTCGGGTTCAAGCCCTAGGTATGGAGTCACTTTTGTTAGATAGCACTTTACCCCCAACGTGGGACTTCCCAACGCGAATCTGATTTTACGGGTACCGAATACCGGATGGGAAACCAAAAAAACTATATAAAAGATAAACTTTATCAGTTGGAACAAGTTCTATGTGACACAAGATGTGTTTGCCAAAAAAACATTGCTTGTGTCTCCTTGACACTTACAATAATGCCACCCCTAACAACTTTCTAGCCTGAAACATTTTGTGAACATAGAAAAACGACTTGAAAATTATATGAGTGTTTTATAGGTTAATAATTCAAGCTTATAAGTGAAATCATATTATAACTATTGGAAATATTTACCATATATCAAAGGTGTAGCAGGGACCTCAATTGGTTGAGCTGGTTCACCCACAATTGATATAATTCTGTTCATTTTAGCAATTCTAAATAAGGTCCTAGAGAATGCTTTGCTGATACTGTGTGCAGAATAAAATCCAAACTTCTTCTGTTCCTCTGTCAGCCACCAAAAAGAAATAAAGGGAAGAAGAACAAATAATTACCAAAAACTAACACTATTTTGGGCAATCAAGTGACTTGTGGCGGATCTAGGATTTTTAGAAAAGAAAAGAAAAGAAGATAATCAGAAACAACACAATTACATCTGAAACATTTTCTGATATGGTGGTTTTTGATTCAGTTTGTGTGTGCTTTGATTACTTCTCCTTACCAAGACTTAAAACATATGTAAAGTAACACCTCATATTTTTTTCTTTAATTTTGCTAAGACTTGAACCTAGCTTAATCTTTAATAATTTTCCTCCGCTTTCATTGAACACTAGGCACACCTGGAGTGCACCATATGGCATCTGTTGAGGCATTATTTCCTATTAGCTCAGTGGGATAATTTTCTCCCATAATACTTGGAATATGTCTTTCAAATATGTTACTTGAAAGATCAATAGTGGTGTAAACTGTCAAAATTTTGACTAGTTCAAGTTGGCTGCAACTGTCAGGGGCGAACCCACCTTCTGCTAAAAATTACACTATATATATAAGTAAAATATTATATTTTAGATGTATATAACACATATTAAACACTCTTCGTCAAGAAATATTTTTCATTTCATTCGAGTCTGAACGCCCTTGAAAAATTTTCTGGCTTCGCCACCAGTAACTATTACAGAATCTTGGTAAGATTTGTCTCCAATATATCTGTAATCGCAACTGTGTTAAAACACAAAATCAGAAAGACTGTTAGAAGAAAAAACTGGGAAAACAGTAAAGTATAAAAGATATTCCGAGTCCGCAATTTGCTTGTGCGTCCTATTTTAACCCCCTCACACGTTGCCAAGATAATGGATTAAATCCTCCCAGGATGAAACGGAATAAACCTTCCTGCAACAGTGGCAATACAAACTGCAGGATACCAACGAACTCAAAGGACGGAGCAAAATCACACTTACGAATTTAGAAGAGATTCCGCGAAATAGAATGCAGGATTATCAGAAGGAAGGAAGTTCTGTAATTTTTCAGTGTATCGAAAATGCAGCCATGCCTCAGAATTTATAGGCAATTATCGGAAGAGGTGTGATGTCTGTTCAGGAAAAGTGTCTGTTCAGAAGGGAAAAATTAACGTTCAGCGTTTTTTTTTTTGGATTTCAGATTTCAGTTAATTTCGTTAATTAACTGACTGGCTTTTAATTAATTATTAAATAATTAATTAAAATAACCTTATCGATCGATCATTTGACAAATCCAAATCCAAAGCCAAAGCCAAAGCCAAAGCCAAAGCCGAGCCGAGCGAGCGATGACGACGGCGTGAGGGTTCATTCTCTTCAACTCCTTTTAAGAGCTCTAAGAAGTGTCCTATATATATACACACAAATGTAGTTGTCCCTCACCAATGAGGGACAAAGTTCAAGACAAAAGCTCATTTCATTCAAATTTTCATTTCCCTCCATTTTATTTCCCACCATTTCCAATTCACACTCTTAGACTTTTAAAGCACAATGCTTAAAGTCTTTAAAGCCCAATGCTTAAAGTCCAACAATCCCCCACATGAATGGGAATGGCTGTAACAAGAATGATCATAGATGAAAGCTGTGTGATTCGCAAGTAAGGATTAATTGCATCTGGATAAGTAGGTTTTCCTTTGAACTTTTCGTAGTGAACATATGTCGGATATACTCGGTCAATCGGTAGATTTGATATCTTTGAACCGTCGAACTTTAGTGTATACCTAGACAACCATATGTCACACAACCAACCCTTAACCGTGTTTTGATTCTCATTGTTGTGTTCGTTTCAGCCATGAACACCGCCTGGTTTCATAAGTGCGTAAAGAATTGGCCTTGCAGAATTCTCATTGAAGCGGATTCCACTTCACGCTTACATAGGTGATTCCTAAACGTGTAATCCTTTAGATTGACACTATTTGATAAATACCACATCAAACTTAGGTAATCATTAAAGAACGTGTAAAGTTCTATCCTTGTTATTGAACATTGTCTTCATCACGAGAATGGACCAAAGATTTTACTTTGACAATGTTGAACCGGTCAATCACAACTTTGTTTGAGCTCCTTGAACCTAGATCTCAGAATATCCAAAATTCTAGGTAGAGTTACCGCCATGTTGACTTGTCCCCGGCCATAGTCCCATTCCCTTAGATGATTTCTCAACTCCCTCTCTAGTTAAGCCTTTTGTAAGCGGATCTGCCACATTATCCTTTGATCTTACATAATCAATAGTGATAATTCCACTAGAAAGTAGTTGTCTAACGGTGTTATGTCTTCGTCGTATATGACGAGACTTTCCGTTATACATAACGCTCCCTGCCCGTCCTATTGCAGCCTCACTATCGCAATGTATGCAAATAGAAGCCAAAGTTTTTGGCCAGAACGGAATGTCTTCTAAGAAATTTCGAAGCCATTCAACTTCTTCACCGGCTTTATCCAAAGCTATAAACTCTGATTCCATTGTAGAACGAGCAATGCACGTCTGTCTGGAAGACTTCCAAGATACTGCTCCTCCATCAACAGTAAAAACATATCCACTTGTGGACTTTATTTCTGTTGAGCCGGTTATCCAATTTGCATCACTATATCCTTCGATAACTGCAGGATATTTATTGTAGTGCAAACCGTAGTCTTGGGTATATTCCAAATATCCCAGAACTCGTTTCATTGCCACACAGTGATGTTTGTTGGGATTACTTGTGAATCAACTAAGTTTACTTATTGCATAAGCTATATCAGGTCGTGTACAGTTCATGATGTACATTAAGCTTCCCAACACACGAGCATACTCCAATTGTGACGTGCTTTCACCTTTATTCTTTATAAGATGATGGTTTAAGTCAATTGGAGTTCTTGCACTTCTAAATTCCAAGTGTGAGAATTTTTCAAGTACCATTTTCACGTAATGTGATTGAGACAAAGCTAGACCCTGAGGAGTCCTCTGGATTTTAATTCCTAGAATTACATCGGCAACTCCTAAGTCTTTCATATCAAACTTACTAGTAAGCATACGCTTAGTAGCTTAAATGTCGGCAATGTCTTTGCTCATTATTAGCATATCATCAACATATAAGCAAACAATGACTATATGATTTGGAACGTTCTTAATGTAAACACATTTATCACATTCATTAATCTTAAAGCCATTTGACAACATGGTTTGGTCAAATTCTGCATGCCATTGCTTGGGTGCTTGTTTTAGTCCATAAATGGACTTAACAAGTCGACACACCTTCTTTTCTTTTCCCGGAACCACAAACCCTTCAGGTTGGTTCATGTAAATTTCTTCCTCTAGATCACCATTTAAGAAGACTGTTTTTACATCCATTTGATGGATTTGAAGACCATATAAGGCGGCTAACGCTATTAGCATCCGAATGGATGTAATTCTTGTTACCGGCGAGTATGTGTCAAAATAGTCAAGACCTTCTCGCTGTCTAAATCCTTTGACAACAAGTCTTGCCTTGTATTTGTCAATAGTACCATCGTCTTTCATTTTCTTCTTGAAAATCTATTTAGAACCCAATATTTTGTTACCTGGAGGAAGATCAACCAATTCCCAGGTATGGTTGCTAAATATGGATTCTATTTCACTATTGACAACTTCTTTCCAATAGTGTGCTTCTGAGGAAGACATTGCTTCCTTGAAGGTACGAGGCTCATTTTCTAGCAGGAAAGTCAGAAAATCTGGACCGAATGAAGTAGATGTCCGTTGACGTTTACTTCTTCTCGGATTTTCCTCATTAGGCATACCATCTGTTATTTCCTCCCGAGGTCGTTTTGACTTTTGGTAGGTCACTTCACTTTCCTTTTTATACGGATAAATAGTTTCAAAGAATTCAGCATTATCTGATTCTATTATCGTATTAACGTGAATCTCAGGATTTTCTGACTTATGAACCAAAAAACGATATGCCTTGCTATTGGTTACATATCCAATAAATACACAATCAACCGTTTTTGGACCTATCTTAACCCTTTTAGGTTTAGGAACTTGTACCTTAGCTAAACACCCCCACACTTTGAAGTATTT